TAACAGTTAAAAATTGAGAATTAAGTATTCAGAAAACAAATTATTTTATAAAAATGTTTGGTCACTACCCATTTTTTGCACACCATATTATTTTCTCTTCATACATAATACATATGTTAACTTATAGTAGCTGGAAACTGCTGCAAAAGAGTTATCGTTAATGACAAAGATTTTGGGAAATACAAACTATCTTTGTTGGCATCATGAAATAACATGAAGTACCATCTGAAAGGACTTGAAATGTTGTTTGAAAAAATCTTTATCTCTGTCACTCTGCGTTGACATATGTGGATTAGGAATTAAGAGAAATCTCCATCTTCATCTTGCTTTCCATTGCTTCCAGGATAACGTCTTCAAACCTAGACAAATCTAAAAAATTGTAATAAATGATATATTTACTATTCACTATTTAATATCTTAGTTGTACAACGAATGAAGAACTTTGTTATTGTTAGAGATATTTCATTTATTTTCTATTATTAAAATATGAATTAAAACGGAATGTATCAACTCGCTTTCTTTTCAAAAAGCATTTGTTTTCTTGCATTACAAATGGCCAAGATCTACGGTTTAGAAGTAGCCTTTATTGTGCTTCACGAGCTACTTTCACGCTAAATGCTATTTTTCAATATTCAAGAAAATTGGCAAGATATTAATGTCTGGTTAATTTTATTTTTGAGGATATACTTCACCTTTGTGCAGTATCAGTGCCACATAAAAACGTTGGAGAGTACCTCTTTTTTGAAATGTTGAAAACTCTTCCAATGTGTAGACGAAGGATGAATAAAAGTCATAGCTCCCATTTTCAGTGAACCATGTCCATTGAACCAATTTAAATATGTATTAACCTCTACCAAACTAATGGAAATGTACCGGTTAATAAAAATGTACAAAATGTCTTTAAAAAATTCCAAGTAAATTCCTGTAGGAGAACATGAAAGTCGATGGCAAATATCTTGGAATGAAATCATGATTTGTGACTTAAGTATTCCTTTCTTATTCGTTTATTCACTAGTTGCATTCTTCTTTCAATGCTTAAATTTATTCCACTACAAAATATGTTCATTAAAACTTGAGCCAGCAATCAAAATATGTTCATTAATAACTCAGCAATAACTGAGAGATGTCACTTAAGAACAATACCTTGAAGAAAAATATTGTGTACATAGAACAAAAAACGTGCGCCGAGAACCGAGCGCTGAACACATGCAACCTTGATCATAATCTTGCGTGATCAGTCGCTTTTCAACACAGAGCAATTACAGGTTTGATATTTAGTACAATCAATGTCATTTTTGTAGATGAGTAGGTACTAATGATATAATTCGCGTACATTTTCTTAATCTCTCGTGTCGTTACATCTCAGACTAATGGGATTTGGTTATTCCGACGCAGATGGTTTCAAATTATTTATCTTGTTTGTGGAAGCAAATAAGTATTATTAATACCTTCCAGACCAAATTATGGGCAATTAACAACAAAAATTAATTCACATATTTATCACTTCCAGACATCCTCATCAACACCCAATAATGAGTTTCTTAAGTTATTTTTGTCGCATAGTTGAAATTTTTAGTGAGACCATATGGACCCGGTGGGAAGATGGGTACAACATGTTAAAATATTATCATATTATTTATAATTATATTATTTCAAGAAATAAGAAAATAATTCACAATGCATTGTGATAATTATTTATTGGATAAAAACCAGTTTTGAATACAAATAGAGCGATTAAAATGGAAAAAAACATGACATTCATTTTTGGTGATACGGCACAAAACAATTTTTCTTTCCATGTAGACATTATTTTACTATTATTTTTTAATATGTATATATACAGATTATATATTATTATTACTTGTTTATTATATTACATTTTGTTTTCGACATCTGGAAATTCACGAAAATCCTCACAATCTAAGACATCACCACTCATTATAAGTTCCAAAATATCTTCACTTGATGCTCTGGACATCTGAAATATATGTAATATAATAAATTTTCAAGTTGTGATTTCCTCTACAGAACTTAATTTTGTAATATAATTATTCTTATTTTCCAATGGGTCCATATGGAATCCAGAACTAATAAAGTCACAGCATAATACATGTCACCATTACGCAAGTGCGAATGATTATTATTATTCTTATTACATGTACATTTATAATATATTTTTGTAAGACTGCAATTAACAATATCTTATCTCAAAATCGTTAGCATTTTTATATGAAACACAGCTGATGCAATGACAGTGAACACTCAGTTGTTTACAAAGCTGTAGAATGTCACGTGATAACTCTCTATTATCTTGGAAGGTAGGAAGAGACATAAATCTTTAGGCTTCACGAATAAGAGATGTTGTTCCATTTGTTCCTCCCGCTTATGATCAATTCCCTGTTGAGGAGCTACTATTGCTTCTGTCGTTCATTTTTTGTGAAAGCAATGCGCCATTCAATTTTTTTTCTTCTTCTGCGAGTGGAACTACACCACGCGGCGTCCTTCGCAACCAAGCTTCCATCTTCTTCTATCTTGACAATCATCTTCTTTGATGTGACAATTTTTCATTTTCTGTCGCTCACCATCATACGATGTAAGCCTTGGTCTACCTCTCTTTCTGTGCATTGGCACCTGCCTCCTCCAAGTTTTTAATGACCATCTTTCCTCCGGCATTCTTATAAGATGTCCGTACCATTTTATGTAATTGTCAAAATAATCGGCATCCAATTTGTTGGGGACTAACTAGGGAGACCGTGGACTGTTTAAATGGCTCGATGAGCTACTAGCCAGCCCCTTCCTCTTACCTTTGTGTGTTGGGATTCTAAATGAATGAGCACTACATGAATGGAAGGCGAAGCAGACGTATTGCCTATAAATGTTAGCCTTCACGAGATGTTCCTATTACACTGGGAGAATTCAGGGGTCATTAATTTAATGGAATAAAAAAACGTATAGTTATCATTCTCTAAATAATACATCTAGTTGAAAATATGCAACTTCATTTTCTCTTGAAAATGTTGAAATTATTGTAGTTGCTAAAGTCATATTTAGTTGAACTAATTAAAGTCGTTGCAATTAACAATTACAATAAAATTGGAGGCCCAACACAACACATTTGTGCTGAAATGATTGTAGTGGCTGAAGAGATATGTAGTTAAAACTAATTAAAATTGTTGCAATTAATATTTAGAATTAACTTGAAGGCACAACACAACCTAACGTATTGGTGCTGAAATAAGTAAAACCATGGTGTACTATATAAAAATGAAAGTACGATGACGCATTGTAGACGCTTGAAGACGGATTATGCGTGTCAGTCGCGTGACGTGGTCCGAATGCAGAGCGGAGGGGTGACAGTGGTCACTCGCAGACGCCTGCGATCAGAGCGGTCGCGTTCTTGTTACTGCGACGTAGGAGCGTTCCAATACCAGGGCGTTTAACGAGTCATCATTGTCGTACATGGCATATGTCTGCAGTTATTGTTAACATGTTGCAATAATCACACTTAGTAAATACATCGGCATGCACGCTGTGGCGAGTCAAATTCAGGAGTATCATGAATCATCACTGGCAATTACAGAAAGTTACTTTGAACCCCGAGGAAGCGGCCTTTGTTTCATAATAGTTGTGCAATTGTTACTGTTTTTGACGTAATCACGTGCAGCACGCGATGTGTAAACAGTTCATGCTGGAAATCTGAACTCACGTGTCCACAATTGCCTTCCGGTATGACGCAGCCGCTAACGGCACGTGTTGTAAGATCAGTTTATGCTGAGAGAACACACTTACATATTCGTAATTACCATGAGCTTGACATAATGTGTGTCACAATACATTAGGACACAAAAACGTCCACCATTACCCCATATCAACTGGATTACAGTGAACTTCGCGGAGCAACGCAGAAATATGTGTAGCCCGGGGCAGCGTCAAAGCCCAACTGACGTAAGGGGTGATTGAGGCTTCGTTAACGCCAGACCGTTTCCCGGCCGCTGGTCGCTTGAGATCGCAGGGGATCCAAAGTTGTCACAGCCAGCCGAGCGACGCCCAGACGGACAATGTTGGAGAGGCATTGAGCGATGTATAAAATATAAAATGGTAATTCTATTGCGTAATTTAAATCCACAAAAAGTAGTCGTTATAATAATAATAATAATAATAATAATAATAATAATAATATGCCTTTATTAATATGGCGAGGCTGTACGGAACAAGTATGCAACGGTACACGATTACTCATCAGAAGAATTACCGGAAACGTGCTTGAAGCAACGATATTGACTGGAAAGTTTAAAGGCGAAGTCGTCCTGTTGCCTCGAATACCTATGATACCATCAGAATCTACAATTCCTTTCAAAAGGCTACAATTTCCGATACGTTTGGCTTTTGCGATAACAATAAATAAGTCGCAAAGACAAACAATGGCTATTTGTGGCTTAGACTCGGAGAACCCGTGTTTCTCCCATGGACAGCTGTATGATGCATGCTTCCGTGTTGGAACACCATCGAATTTATTTATTCATTTTGACGAAAGACAGATTGACGAAAAATATTGTTCATCGCTTAGCTCTTAATTAAGTGAAAGTAATGATTATTAAAAATTAAATTAGGTAAATTAATTATAATTTCAGTTTTAAAAATCGGCATTATCTAACTCATTCATTAAATTAATAAAAATTAAACATTTACTATCCGTTGAAATTTAATTTGCACTTTTCATCATTCTTTATCAATCCCTTCCTAAATAATACCAATAGTACCAAATAATTAAACCAAGAACAAGAAAACTACAGCAACGCGTGGCCGGGTCTAGTTAAATGTATAAATTAGCATGTCAAAATACAACCTGTTGCAACACAAACTAAATTCGAAAAAAAAATGCAGTACAACATAAATGGAGGTTGCTTCTTCTTTATTTTCATCGTGAGGGGACATCGACCCGATGGCTTCGCCGACAAGCGACCCGCGGCGCCGTTCCGTTCCGTTCCGTTCCGTTGCCGCTAGCGCTTCCGCTTGGAAGAGCTGGCCCCGCTCCGGTCGCCCGCGTCGCGCTGGAAGCCGTGCGCCGCGTTGATGTGCCTGATGAGCGCCGCCGTGCTCACGAAGCACGCGCCGCACTCGTCGCAGCGCGCCGGACCGCGCGTGCCCGCGCAGTGCGCAGGCGTCTCGGGCAGCAGCCCCTTCGGCACCTTGCTCGCCCGCTTCGACGAGCCCGTCAGCTCCGAGTCGCGCTCGTCCACGCCGTACCTGCGGCCGGGCGTTGGCTACAATGCTACCTGTCGTCAGCGGCAAAAAAAATGCTGCTGGTCGATGATTGCGAGTACGAGTGTTTTTGCTTTTGTTTGTTGTTTTTTTGTTGTTTTTGTTTGTTTGTGTGTTTTTTTGTTTTCTTTGTTTGTTTTTTGTTTGTTTGTTTGTGTTTTTTTTTTTGTACGGAAGTACACACGTCTGGGTACGGGAAGACGCGCAAGGCAAAAAACTGATACAGCCATACGTATTGGAACAAAGGGGTCTGCAACCAATCAGAATACGGCGCCCCGGTCTGCAACGACTATATAAAAGAACCAGAGTCACGATATAAGTGTACGACGTATTGTAGTCGGCGCGAGAGAGATGGAGCATAGCATCTTCGAGGTCGCTATGAAATTTGCATTTTCCCGTACGACCATTTCACGAGAGTACTATGAATATTGGGAATACGAAAAAATATCAAACCTCCATCATCGCTCAGGCCGCAAAAATATCGTGCAAGAACGGGGCCGACGACGAACGAGGAGAGTCATTACACGTAACAGAAGTACAACCCTTCCGCAAATTGCTGGAAATTTCAATGCTCGGCCATTAACAAATGTCAGCGAACCATTCAACGAGACATTATCGATATGGGGTAGCGGAGCCGACCATACCAACATTAGACTCTTTACGACTGGAAACACGTTGCCTGCTCTGACAAGTCTCATTTCACATTGTTTCGAGTGAATGGACGTGTACGAGTATGGTAACAACCTCATGAATCCAAAAAGACTGCATGTCAACAGGGGACTGTTGAAGCTGGTGGAGACTCTGTGATGGTATGGGGCGTGTGCAGTTGGAGGGATATGGGACCCTAGATACGTTTCTGCCAAGTAAGACGTACGTAAGCATCCTGTCTAATAACCTGCATCCATTCATGACAATTGCGTCTCGACGGGCTTAGGAAATTCCAGCAAGACTGCGACAGCCCACAAGACGAGAATTGCTACAGAGTGCCTTCAGGAACACTATTCTAAGTCTTCCACTGTCCACCAAAATCCCCAGATATGATCATTATTGATCAGATCTGGGAATCCTTACAACGAGTTGTTCCGAAAAGATTTTCACCCTCTCGTACTCTTACGAGTTTATGGACAGCCCTGCAGGATTCATAGTGTCAGTTATCTCCAGCAAGACTTCAGACATTAGTCGAGTCCATGCCACGTCTTGCTACGGCACTTCTGCGTGCTTGCGTGGGCCCTACTCGTTATTAGGCAGTGTACCAGATTTTGGCTATTCGGTGTATATCTGTGACAGTCCAAGTCGTATTTCCTCTATATCGCACGCTCTCCGGTAGTCACAATCAGAGGCATGTGTCGGAAAAGTGTTCAGTCGTTAGTGAGGCATTTTGACATTGCAATTGAGATGAGAAGTGTAGGACCGGAAGTGTAAAACATTCTGAAACAAAACGTCTAAATTTTCTACAGAGCGTTTGAGAATAAATATTATGAACTTCTAGGGCGTGTAAGACCGTCGAAGATGAGAACTTTTTGATAATAAACATATGATAGAAAATCACATATAACAAAGTTACAAACATGGCATTTGCTCCTGATTGATAGCCAACTTATTGGACACTGGTGTTCGGCAGAAACATTTCATGTATTCACCTAACTCCAATCCAAGATGGATTTCCTATTAATCAGGACAAAATTTAACGTTAAGCGGTACTTCTCACATACGTACATTGGCAAAACGTTATCAACTTCAACTCACCCTACATGTATGATGTATATAAGTTTGTCAATATGTCTACCCTGTGTTACAAAGGCAGCGTACCCTCCGTCCCAAGTGTGGATCCGCTGGTGCATGACAAACTCAATGTAGTCGCGGGTTTTGAAGTCGCACTCATCGCACGTGTAGGTTTTCTCATTGGTGTGGGTGAGCATGTGTTGCTTGAAGCCGCTCATCCACTTAAACGTCTTATGACACTCGGGACAGGTGTACATTTTGTACCCCGGCGCGATGCGATTCTGCTTTCGTTTTTTGCTCACAGATGGCGCCACTGACGTGCGAAAAGCTGTTTTCAGGGTGTTCCATTGGTATTTTCTTAATTGGTCCTCGATATATTTATCGGTCTTTAGGAAGCGTTTCACAATGTCGATTCCACAGACGCCCGGGAAATCTACGCAGCCAAGCTTAAAATTATTATTATTATTATATACGGATGTATATCATGTTATGGTTATTAGAAACAGCATTCATAAGGTCTTCTTGATTTTCTGAAAGGTATTACATCATTTTAATGGAAATGTCGTCTTACAAATGCCATTGCTTGTAAACAAATAAAATTGTCCTCCAAAGAGGACTTCCTTCAAAGAGAACAATTTTATACGAATACGAAGACTCGACAAATCATGTCTTCGTGTAAAAACTTACGGAATTATAACTGAAGTCTTCACTGAAACACAAAATTTATCATTATGAATGAAAATCATTATGCATGTTTTACAATTCTCAACTTCATCTACAAACTATATTGTTTTAAGTCGTATATATAGTCGAGAAATATTAATAAATTACATAATGCGTGGTTACAAAATGCAAACCACCGTGTACACAGTGCAACCAACTTTGTAAAAAAAACAGCTTTAAAGCTGTACAGAGTACTTTATTAATATTTTGTAACAAAATCTAAAAAATCATATTTAAAGATTCAGAATCTTTGTTCTGAAAAAAATGGCATTTGAAAATCTTAACCAAAAGTAATGAAATATAACAATATAACCATTATATATGAATCATTAAATTTAAGGAAACTCCTTCTTCCTTGAAATTTGATTTTTGACTCAATATACTAAGCTAATTTTTTATCTTATGAAAGTATGAAGGAGATTGATATTGCCAAGAGAAGTTACAAAACGCAATAGCGTTTCAAGTGATCCGTACGTTTAGGCATAATAATGTAACTATATGAAAAGCGTTTAACTACGAAAATGCATGGTACCAAAGAGAAAAGAATCATAACACACTGTCTCCTCTTGTGTAAACACATTTTACACTACACAAGATAAATTCGTAGTGGTAAAATGTAATTAGTAGCGATAATTGTAGAAAAGATGCAAGTAAGAATTATTCCTGTAACGGAATTAAGCGCTTATTCAATGATGCACTTGAATCCGCATGATTCAATTGACAAACGCATCCACTTGAAACTCTTATTATGTAAGCCTCCGTAATTGACTTCCAGCTGAAGATCCATTCCTTTTAATTTCAGTTATTTGTTCTGGAAAAGTCTTATCACAGAGTAAATTATTCATTCGTTTTTTTATTAAACCTGAAAAAGAAAGTGTTGTAGTAATATAATTTGTAAAGTGTAGAAATGTTTTCAGTATCGAGTTTTAGTTGTTTTTTTATTTATGAGAAAAAGTTCATACTTACGAGATCTTATGTGCATTTTAAATGATGACTAAGTATAATTGCAAATTAATTAAAAAGATTGACATCCATTTGCAGAAGTTCATTTCAAATGAACTATGGAATTAGAAGTGTAGTTTATTTAAGGTACTCTTTTGTTCGTTACTATTCAGTTGATGGACATTTAGCAGCTGGATAAGAGCAATTCAGTTTGTTACATACATTATGAGATACACATACCTACATTTCCAATTTGGTTATATGAATTGATTATATACAGTTACAGTTCAAGTCATAGAAACCGTTCATAAACTATTTAAAAGTGTGATGAATACGAAATGTGTTAATATGAAGATCAACAATCATTACGTATTCTCTAAAAATATACTTATTGCAATTCGAACGTAATCATAAGTTGATATAACAGTCGTGGAAAAAATCCAAGTAGATAATAAATACTGTATAAACATGTTAATTATGTGCTTTGCAAGTTACATGATCAGTTGTAGGGTATGTATGATGGTGGTTTACCTGCATGGTTTCTGCGAATCTGAAATTTGTATGTATTTGATTTCGTTAGTTTCTAATGAGCCAAGTAAACTTCATTTCAAATTTTTACAATTTACTGAAAATGTGCTTATTGAAACTGGAACGTAACTTGGAATTGAAACAACAGTTATATAGAGTGGGATATAAAAACTGGATTTACTAAATTTGGAGACATTTGGTAGAGTATTTTAAACTTTAGAATTCTTATTTTAAACCGCTGGTAGTAAACATTCAAACTGAAGTCAATAACAGTAATTAAGCTGTTGTAATTGTCCCTTAATTCTAAACGCAGTAGCATTACTAACCGGAGTTTTATTCTCCATAGTTTACAATGTAGAGTTCTTATATCGTTTGTCTTCATTTGATTATTATTATCAAATGCAATACTTAACAGTTTTATTAAACCAATAAATATTGTCAACCAGTTAGATACAGCTAGTTGTTGAAAGCTGAAAAACGATATATTTTCTGAGAAGTCGATTATTTCGATTGCGTAGCATCGATTGGCAAAGAGATGTAAGGATAAAATTTGAACAAAAGCCAGATTTGAATTTTTCTAAAAAATCAATTAATTTACATGGTAATAATAAAACCTCGTATTTCATAAAATAGAATACATTTTTATTAAATTTAACTTCAGTAAATATTTTATTTTCCATTTCTCAATGTTTTGACGTGAAACCGCTTTTCTTGCGAAGGAGTAAGTTGACACACGCTGTACTGGACCAACAGTTCAATGCTTATTTCTAGCTTAAGTACGCGTCGTACGGTGGGTGCTGTCCCCCCCTAATTGGTTCTGCTTATCTGTTATGCTAACTACCAGGCTCAGGTCTTGGAGACACATGGCCAGTCCTGGCCACCTAGTGCTCCCTGCCGATGCCCCTCTCGCTGTGTGACTCCCTGTCCTCCCTGCTCATCCCGAAGTTAGATATTTTCCAAATTCGACTTTCTCTCGGCAAAAGTCGCCGTGGGTGGGGGACACAATTGCGTCGGTGGAGTGTACACGTTGTACAGGTGATGTGTTAGGTTATTGTACTGATGTAGAAATTGGTTAAAAATTGTAAATGTTAGAGCCCCTCTTTTTCTTGCTTCATTCAATTAACTTCCATCTTATCCTTTACTTCAAAAGGTTAGTTAGCACTTGAAAATAGTAAATTTAATATCTTAAATTTATTCCGTTCCAATTATTGTGCGGTCCAGATATTTTAGTTTATTTTCATACTCTGCCTGGTTTATATGAAAATGTGCTTTTGGCAATAAGAGAGGTTATGTGGTTGGTTTCTGCATGATGGAGCACCACTCCACATCCGCATTACAGTTCGCCTACATCTCAACATCTTCCCCAGACGTTGGATAAGAGGAGAAAGACCTTTTGCATGGCCTACTAGACCACTGAGTTTAACCCCCCTTGCATTTTCCCCTCAGAGGTATCTGAAAAGCGTTGAGTATGTTGAACCAGATCCTGATGTGCAGACCCCTTCAGCAGCCTGTTCATTGTGACGCTGTTGGAAGAGAAACCGGATTGTGCTAAATAGTGAGGAAAACCGTGATACGACGCGTGAACGTGCTCATTGCATACTATTGAGACCACTTCAAACGTATGTTGTGACATGGATGCGATTCAGCTATGTACTATGTATCGGCATAATTTGTTGTCGCTGCACGCACGGCGTCCATTTGCGGACATGTGTCCCGAGTAGGACCCCTTATTTCTTCATTTCCAGTTAGGAATCAGTCCCTGCAGTTTGTCGGTTTTATTAAAATTCACCCTGAATTTCCAAATTTTCCAAACATTTTTGCTTTATAATAAGAAAGTGCTTTTATAAATATTGTATAATTTCAATTTTCAATAATACCATTTAAGTTCTGAAAATTCCAAACATTTCCGTTTATTTTCGAACCTTATATACACTTAAAATTAAAGAGATTTATGTCTCCGAAAGATATTGATTTATTTCTCTGACAAAGAGAACGTCGGGTCCCCTAAAAATAAATAGAAAGTGTATAACTCAACATTGTTTATCCCAATTTTTATTTGCGTGTGGTCGTGAAATCGTTTAATCTATTTGTGGTTGTACGGTCGTTCTGGTTTATCTAATTGTTCTCGTGGAATTCAATTTATAAATACTCATATTATATGACATAAAAACTTAATATCATTAAATACAATTTGGAAAATGCCGTTTCTGAATATTTCAAAAAATTAAATAATAAATATGAAAATAAAGAAAATGTATTTCACCACGTACCCACAATACCGCTTAAATTCAGCCGAAAAAACTAAAAAACAAATTTTGAAGCATACATTACAAAATCCAATTAGAATAGTTAAAAATTACAGAATGAGAGAGCTACAATTAACTGACGAAGTAGTATTTATGGGAAGTGTTCTGAACATATTTCTCAAAAGCACACTCGGATCTGTTTGTAATGTACTGACTCAATCCAGTTAAACTCCGTGTTGGTTAAGAGAATTTAAAACCAAATATTTAAATCAATTGGCTAGCAAAGAGATCTGATAACAAAAAACCTGTTATGTGATACAGAAAATGTAATTTAGGCCAATCTACAAAACTGTTGTCACAATTACCTACGTCCAATGTTTGAGAAACGTTTGGGTGATATCATGTGTAGGACTTACATGGAGATACCGTCTGATCTAGAGTAAATGTTGGGAGTGCATAGAAGTATTTCATACTTGATAATACAAAACAACTAGCATTTTGAAATATATTCCTTTGTCTTCTCCCCTGCACGCCGATTTCACTAACCGGAAGTTGTGAACAAGAGGTTGCTACTCGAGATCATCTCTACTTATGGTTGATATTAGAATAAGTAGAAGAGGAAAAGAAGAAAAATAAGAAGAAGAGAAAAGGAATAGAGGAAGTAAGAGGGAAATAAGAAATAGAAGAATAGGAAACGAAAAAATAGAAGAGGAAAAGAAGAAATACAAGAGGAAAGGAAGGAATAGAAGAGGAGGAGAAAATAAATAAAAGAAGTAAGAGGAAAAGAAGGAATAGAAGAAGAGGAAAAGAAGTAATAG